AAAAAAAAAAAACTTGCAGCTGGAATTGCAGCCAAAGGTGGTTCTACAAAGTATTGATCAGGGGGGCTGAATACAAATGCACACCACACCTTTCAGATATAACAAAATGTGGAAAATTTCAAGGGGTATGAAAACTTTTTCAAGGTACTGTACATGTTCCACCTGTTTTTTTATGGTGGAATATGTAACGCACAGGGGTGGACTGACCATTTGGAAACTCGGGCACTGCCCAAGGGCCCGGGTCAGTTGGGGGCCCCATGAGATGCCCCTGGTACCTTTTTCATAGGCTTTTTTGAGTTTGGGGAAGGACACAGGGGCCCTATGATCCCCTATTGCCCTGGAGCCCCATGAGTTGTCAGTACGCCCCTGGTAATGCACCCACTCCTGCAGCCTCTCGCCGATCCCCCTTCTCATTGTGACAGTGAGCCGGGGATCTTCTCCCAGCACCCGTTGTCACAATTTGAAAAGAACACAGGGCTCCACCCTATCACAGAGATCTGTGAAAGAATGAACTACAAGTACTGTCATCCTTTGTGGCTGACAGCTTGTAGTTCTCAGTGAGCTACCAGGGCTCTAGTGAGCACTCTAGGTAGTTCATTGAGTCTTCCTGTCATTGTGTAACTGTCTACCCATATGAAGTATGAGCAGACATATTACAGTGACAGTCTGCAGGATTCCGAGATCGCATCCACATTCTATTGATCACGGGTGCAATGCTTTCCATGCTCCTAATAGTTTACTTGCAAAAAATGTGCATTTATTATGTTTTTGTTTACTATTTTGGGCCAGTTTTGCTTTAATAATAAAAAGAAATGAGTAGATATCCATTAACATTTACTACCAAAGGAAAGCTCATTTAATCCTGAAAAATCAAGGTATAATGTGCTTGGATGAACCAAGTAGTTGCAATGCTATGTACAGTTCTACTAACACATGCCAAAGTTGCAAAATTGTGTTCAGGTATTAAAATTTGTTTTAACATACAGACATTAAGGGGTTTAAATAAGCAGGGAAATGTTAGAACCTCTGTCAGCTTTTTATTGTTGTCTGTGTTTCTCCTTTGCAGATTTTCCCTCACTTCCTGTCTGATGAAAGATCATTCTGAGAAAAGAAGGACAAAATTTATCTAATGGAGCTTGACTGGGATTATAACCTTTCCCAATTCCATACAAAATAAAAAAAAAAAAAACTTTGATGACATTGGGCGTCATTCAACCCAGATGTGGGGGAGGATGAAGAAGGCATTGCTGAAGGTTAGAAGGGGTGAGTAATACTTTCAGGCCTTTCTTTTACAACTTGGGGGGGGGACACAACAGTTAAAAAATAAATCCTAGATTTGTGGTTTAAAAGACAACTGTACCTTCACTGAGTGCTGATTTCCAGGTACAACATTATTTACACTGTTGTGGCTGCATTCGGTTTATTTTTTAGTAGTTTTTTCTCTCTGTTTTCACCCGGTGATCTGGCCAGTAATACATCTCCTATACTAGAGTGCCTCAACTCTGGATGAAAGAGCAAAGGGACACAGAAGACAGTAGAACTGTATATCTGGGGAGAGGTAAGTGTTAGATAGATAGGACTAGCAGATTTATATACACTAACAAATTGAAGCTGAACGCCAGCCCATAATTTATAACAGTTACAGCAATCATTTTTTCTTTTGGGATTTTTTTTCTTTTTGGAATCATTGTAAGCACTCCTGTCAGTGGTAAATGATTTGCCTCAACCCTCTAAATGTTACATCTGTAGGCCAGCTTGTTCTGCTGCAAAAATCAGACTTACTGGCTAGCAAGAGCATCCGATGAAAATAAAGGAAAAAGCCTAAAAAAGAAAATGAATGCAACCATCACATCTAAGAATGAGTAATAAATGTTTACTTTTGGGATCAATACCACTTTAACTGCAGATAAGCAACACAACTAGGTCACACCCCAGTTTGTGACTGGATAGTGAAGAAGCAGAAGCACTCTGATGAGCTCCTCCCTCTTCTCTCTCCAGTCTACTGCTGCATAGCTACAGCATTAATTGTGGCTCCTCCTTCTCCTAATCTGAATTGTTGTATGCAGGGGATTAAAAAAGGCTGATGCTGAGACAAATTCCTGTACATTTAACTTTAATTATGTTTTTGTATTTAAATTATTGCAAAAGTGAATTTATTGGTAGTTTTATATCTGCCTGGGGCTCTGCTTTGATAAAGATGCCCCATTATACGTACGTGTATATTCATTTGAACTACTGTACGTTTTGTAGATTGATTGCACTTTCCGTGTATACTTTTGTGCTGCGGTGTTTATTTTTATATCTGCCCTATGTTTTTCTGTAACAGGAAGTTAAAAACGATTTAAGTAAATGCTCTTAGATCTGATAAATTGCTTTACAATTCCACAAATGTACAAGGTAGGACTGCTGATTGCAAGCATACAAAGCAAATGGCTCTTTTCAATGCTTTTCTTCAATTGTCAATTGAAAAGATTGATGTAGCAAAATTATATTGATACAACAGCAGAAAATCTGCAGGTGTTCCTAACATTATGTAACCCTAAAAACTGCCCGCATAGTTCGTGTTAAAGTTTGTGCAACACTATCCTCTTCTTTAGGTGCTAATTGTCTTTAAAACAGCAAAGGTTATACTCCAATGGTGTCCAGCCCAAAAGGGCATGTGGGCAACATATGTGGTCTGCAAGAGTGAAGGGCCACAACTGTATCCACTAATGTTTATTATAAAAAAAAATATCAGGAGACAAGCATATGTTTTGTAAGCCAGGAGAAAACAAGCATATAACTGAGATAACTCATTTCCCAGAACATCCATCCTTAGGGGCCCTTCTACTCTACCGTGTATTGCACACTGTCTAGGCACACCAAAATAGTGTGGGCAAATACTGGGCAGCCTTGTTGTTTTAAAATTCACAAACAAGCAGTGATATTTTTCTAGGAGACACAGAGCCAGCCAGTGAATCCTTCTGAAAATATAAAACTCCAGGAATGCATCTCGTACAGTACACAAATATTATTTAGAACATATATTGTATCTATATATATTTTATATATATATATATATATATATATATACATATACAGTGGGGAAAATAATTATTTATCATAGGTGTATTTTAAATGATAGAGGCAGAATATCAACCAAAAACCCAGAAAAAAAACGATACAAATTTTATAAATTGAGTTACAGTTCAGTGAGTAAAATAAGTATTTGATCTCCTTCCAATCAACAATAATTCTGGCTCCCACAGACTGGCTATATGATTATGTGGTACACAGATTAGTCCTGTCAATTTAAGAAGGTGCTCCTAACAACAACTCATTATGTGTATAAAAGACACCTGTCCACAGAATCTCATTCTTCCATTCAAACCTCACCATCATGGGCAAATGACTGAGGAGCTGTCAAAGGACATCAGGACAAGATTGTAGACCTGCACAAGGATGAAATGAGCTACAAGACCATCAGCAAGAAGCTTGGTGAGAGGGAGACAACTGTTGGAGCAATTATTCGCAAATAGAAGAAATACAAAATGACCATCAAACGCCCTCAGTCTGAAGCTCCATGCAAGATTTCACTTTATGGGGTAAGGATGATTATGAGAAAAGTGAGAGATCAGCTCAGAACTACACGGGAGAAGCTTGTGAATGATCTCAAGGCAGTTGGGACTACAGTCACCAAACAAACTATTGGTAACACAATATGCCGCCATGGATTGAAATCCTAAAGTGCCCGCAAGGTCCTCCTCCTCATGGAGGCACATATACAGGCCCATCTAAAATTTGCTAATGAACATCTAAATGATTCAGAGAAGGATTTGGAGAAAGTGCTGTGGTCAGATGAGACCAAAATTTAGCTCTTCGGCATTACCTTGACTCGCCGTGCTTGGAGGAAGAAAAATGCTGACTGCGACCCTAAGAACACCACCCTTACAGTCAAGCACAGAGGTGGAAACATTATGCTTTGGGGCTGTTGTGTCTCTACTAAAGTACAGGTACATGCCGACTTTGCCGCATTGAAGGGCCAATGGACGTGGCCATGTATTGTAAAATCTTGGATGAGAACCTTCTTCGCTCAGACAAAACACTGAATATGGGTTGTGAATGGTTCTAGCATGACAATGACCAAAAACATACCGCCAAGGCAACAAAGAAGTGGCTCAAGAAGAAGCACTTAAGGTCATCGAGTGGCCTAGCCAGTCTCCAGACCTTAATCCTATATAAAATGTATGGAGGGAGCTGAAACTTTGAGTTGCCAAGCAACAGCCAAGAAACCTTAAGATCTGTACAGAAGAGTGAACCAAAATCCCTCCTGAGATGTGTGCAAACTTGGTAACCAACCACAAAAAACATCTTACCTTTGTGTTTGCCAACAAGGGTTTCTCCACCAAATACTAAGTCATGGTTTGCTTTAGGATCAAATACTTATTTTACTCACTGAACTGCAACTCAATTTATAACTTTTGTATCATGTGTTTTTTATCTGGATTTTTGGTTGACATTCTGTCTCCATCATTTACAATACACCTATGAAAAAAATTATAGACCCTTCATTTCTTTCTCAGTCGGAAAACCTACAAAATCTGCAGGGGATCAAATAATTATTTTCCCTACTGTATATATATACTGTATATAGTTTGCATGTTCTCCCTGTGCCTGCATGAGTTTCCTCCCACACTCCAAAGATATACTGGTAGGTAAATTATCTCCTGTCTAACTTGGCCCTAGTATGTGTATGTATGAATGTGAGTTAGGAACCTTAAATTGTAAGCTCCTTGAGGGTAGGTACTGATGTCAATGTACCATGTATATGTGTAAAGCGCTGTGTAAACTGACAGCACTATATAAGTACCTGTAATAGATAGATAGATAGATAGATAGATAGATAGATAGATAGATAGATAGATAGATAGATATTTATAATTAGATTTTCAGCTACAGATTGACTCCTAAGTGGCATTATATTGTACAGCAAAATAATAAAGGAAATACCATATTCTCACCTCTTTGTATGACAGCCACTCATAAGGCTGGTTCGGTTTCCTGGATCCTAAACATGGTTCATTTTCTATAAAAAAAAAAGTGTGTTTTACAGTTAGTAAAACTATATACTGTATTTCATTACAACACTGATAAACAAATATTCTATTCTATAGTCACAGTATACATTCTGATTTTATAACATCAGCATTGTACTAGCAATACAAACAATAGTTTGTTTTTATTTGACAACCAAATATAAGCTTACTTGAAAAAATCTCATTTCATGTTGTGAGTTGGGCCTGTCCGCTGGACCTCTCTTTCCACAACTTGGATAAAGCACTACATATCCCATGGTACCTGTGATTCCTGTCCTGACTCCGCCTCCTGAAACTCCTCCTCTCAGCACCTCTGTAGTTCAGAAGGCAGGCTCTGTGAAATGTGTGACACAGCAGTGCTTACTCACAGGGCATAGTGACTACGTGTCACAGAATTCAATGAAGTAAAACCTCAATATTATTCAGATTAATAGGAGTAGGCTAGAAATAATTTAATTGTAGAGATACATATATTGGGCTAGCCATGTCTTTCCCATACATATTTCTTCTCCACTCACTCATTGTGCCCTTTTTCTTTAGAAAAGTCCTACAACTCTTTTGAACTTTTGTTGAATTAGCAATAATGGTTCTATTCATGCCACAGAAACCATGGCTAAGACATACTGTCAGTTTGAATGAATTAAATGAGTCTATAAGACGTAACTGAAACTCACATTTAAAGGAAAAGTTCACCCTTGGGAACATGTTACATGTTCCACCTGTTTTCCCAAAACTGCAGCTGCCACCCGCATGCCTGCCCCCCTCCCTCTGACAGACAGTACAGGGAAAAGTCTCCCTATACTATCTGTCAAATTTGAAAACAGTGTGGCTCCACCCACATGGCCGCAACGTTCATTCACGGATGGTTGTCGTCTTATAGTTTTTAATGAACTACCTTGGCGCTGTGGGGTCCTGTGGTAGTTCATTGAAGCAGTATACATGCAGTACACCCACACATCGGTGAGGAGGAAGACCTGCGGGAACATGTGAGTGGGTTTTTCTTTTACTGATATTAAAAGAGTCTTGGTGAAAGTAATACTGCACTTAGAGGATTCTTTCTTTGGCTCACTGGGTTGGTGAGCGATTATTCTTCAGAAGCTTCCGGTCTGGGGCAATGGGAGTCCCTTATGAGATCCACATTGTGAGGAAAGGTACCTGTCTTCAGGAATAGGGATCCAGGGTGATCCTGAAAGCTGTTTGACCCCTGGGGGTCACTTTGAGGAGGTGAGGAGGCAATTTAGCCGTAGTAGGAGAAGAGTGTGGACACGCTCACGGAGTACAAGCACTATTTGCGCATTGCATGAATTTCATATCACTTATTGATTACTTCATGGACGTTTTGTTTTGAATTATTTGAGTGGCATTTGAAGTGTGGAGACTTTATTGCACTTAAGCACTATTCGATTATCCTCCTTTGAAGGGGGCTTGCATCATTGTCTTATTGTGTGGGCACTATTTTTTAAGATATTATTTTGAGTGGCACTATATATTTAAGATACATTTTATTTATTTAATATATTTAATATTATTTACATTATGTATTATTGACACTTTTTCATGTGAGCATTTTTTATGTATTGCACTTAGTATTTATATGAGCGCTGCACTATTTATGATTATCATACACACTGTTTGGGTACCAGTTGAAGTGTTGGCAGCTTTCAATAGGTAGACTTCCTTTCAGCGCAGGAGGACCTTTTTCCCTAGTTCATTGAAGCTACCTACCAGAATATCTGCTTGCTCGTACATTCCGTACGGCAAGCAGATATTCTGACAGGTCTGCAGGAGACCTGCATGGCATCAGTGATCTACTGATCATTGGTGCACTGCTTTCCAGGCTCCTGTAGACAAAAATAATAAATGCACATTTTTTACCTGCAAAAAAATGCATTTATTATTTTTGTCTAAAAGGTGAACGTATCCTTTAAAAAATTAGTACCCTGATATTCTTCAACCTCAATAACAAAAGATAGTAATATAAAACAACTAAAGAGGCCACCAAGATGGCCACATATTTTGTATTCCACACTTTTGTATTCCACAGCTTTTGTTTTGTATGATATACTTTTAATAAAAATGTATTGTAACTGAAATAAAATATCCAATAGCCTGAGCATTTTTACCTACTCAATGTTCCTTCTCATTGAAATTTTTGAAAGCAGACCTACAACTGACTGTATAATTTGGGTTTCTTCTGAGGACTAAGTACAACTCACATACTGTATATGCTTGCAAACTGTTTGCAGGCAATAACTAATACTGCAGCTAAGCAATTGTATTGATATCATTTAGGATAGTAGATAATGAAGTAGCATTGGGCAAGTTTTAAACATTTTATTTTTGGAAGTGTGTATTCTTCTTACTGAACTGATAAATGCAGCATTAGTTCAGCATGGTTTCTATAGGGGCTGCTTCTCCCCTCTTATAAAAACTTTGACAAGAGCGATCCACTCTATTAAGCACTGCTTGTAGCTATTTCTACAGATAATTCATTTTCCCAAATGACTGTGTAATTAGGGGGAAAGATGATTCTAATTGAAAAGCAACCCAAGCCAGTCAGGGTTATCTGCTCTGACTGTGCAATTTTAAAGAAGGTTTCAGAATGAACATTTGGCTCAACTCATAAGCTGGCCATATATCAGTAGTAGAATTTCATTCAAAATTTCTGTTTTAAGAACATTCTTTCAATTTTCTAATTGTTAGTGGGGTCAGATTGTTTTGATGGCAGTGATGGGAAAATTCAGAGGAGCAGCAGAGAATTTATTTCTCAAATAAATGAATTTCTAACAGTGTCCCAGAAAGTCCAATTATTCAAAGCTCCAAATACAACCTGAAACTGAAGCCCATCTATTTTATTTATTTATTACAGGAACTTATATATTGCTGTCAATTTACATATATATTGCACATTCATATCAGTCCCTACCCCTCAAGGGGCTTACAATTGAAAGTCCCTACATACTAGGGCCAATTTGGGCAGGATCCAATTAACCTACCAGCATATCTTTGGAGAGTGGGAGGAAACCCACACGGGCAGAACAAGCAAATTCCAGGCAGGCAGTGCTGTGGTTGGGATTTGAACCAATGACCCTAGTACTGCCAGATGGAAGTGCTAACCATTTAGCCACTGTGCTGCACTTTGTACAGGACCCTAAATAAAGGCACTAGCAACATAAAATAATACACAGTATATCTTCAAATTAAATGAAGATCCCAAACAACTGCCCAATAACTAAGGGAAGCCTTGATATTGCAAAAACTAAAGGCAACAGCTGAAAGTTAAGCCAGCCATGGATGGATCAAAATTTGGCTGGTTCAGCAGGGATTGGCTGAGATTTGATCCATGTATGGGAAGGCTGATTGTACATAAGTCAATCCATTGCCCACCACCACCATCAGCAGAACACAATACAGTTATAGGAGGCATTCCCCTATCAATACTGACTGTGTTGATGAGGGAATCGAACGATTTTCCTTCCTTCCACAAAGAAAATCGAGTCATCTAAGGGCTGCTTAATCCCTGACCTTTAATCAACCACCACAATAAAAGCAAACACAAAAAAACCCCAATAGCAATAACAAAAAAAGTAACAAAGGGGTTGATAGTCCAAAGAGCTAACAATCAAAATTAAAGTACATTTTACTAACTAAACCTAATCTTTCCTTTGCAGCTTGTCAGCTTTCCCTATCTTTTCTGTACCCTGATGCTTTGGGGTCGATTTATTAATACTGTCCAAAAGCCCCCTGATTGGCCCTTTTAAAGATGCTGCCCATAGTTCAAATGTCATGCAGTACATTATGTTTTAAATGCAAAATTAACTTTTTGTAAAAAAAAAACAAAAAAACAATAAATGCACTTTTTTTTGCAGGTATAAAAAATGTTCATTTATTATTTGTTCACACTGCACCTGCGATCAGCAGATGGCAGGTGCAATGCCGGGATCCTTCAGACTCTCAGTAAGCTGTCTACCCATACCTCCCGTATGGGAAGGCAGTTACTGAATGGCAGGAAGAATCAATGGACTATGAGAGCGTTAACCAGCACCCTCACAGTTCATTATGAACTACAAGCCATCAGCCAAAATGACTTACAGTACTTGTAGTCTATTCATTCATTGATCTCTGGGAATGAATAGCACAGCCCTGTGGGTGGATCCCAGCCAATTAGGAAACTGTATTTTAATTCTGCTTTCTAGCTCTTTGGGCGGTCAACCTCTTTGCTGCTTTTATTTTGTTCTTACTATCCGGAGCCTTCACTGGAAAGACCTGAATTCAATCATTTGGGAGGGGTTTCCACATACTTTTTGTCATATAGGTAGGTGTGGTTTTTAAGGTTGCCTCCTCATCCCTTTGAGGCCTGGTTCACACTACATGAGTTTCAGTTGTGTTTTTTATGCATCCAATATGCACAAAAAGTAGGTTATATGGTTGTCAATGTCATAGTTCACATCAGTGTTTGCAGTTCCAGTGCATTCCAGGTGCAGAAAAAAAAGTAAAACAGGCTACATGTTTTCTGCACAGAACTGTACTGGAACGCAGTAAAACGCTTCAAAGACACACCAAAATGCACCAAAAATGCACTGGAATGCACCTGCCCCTATGTTAAATTGAAGAAAAAGAGAGCACAAATTAACTGGAATACATAAAAAAACGCACTGAAACGTGTCAAAAACGCATTAAAAAGCACGTAACAAACGCACATGCAAAAACGAATCCAGAAAGCATCTGTAATGTATTTCTATAGTGTGAACCGGCCCTAAAACTGAACACATATTAATTATACAGGTTCTGTGGCTGATTAAGGTGGTAATTAAACTCACCTAGTGCCTTATCTGCAATAAATTAGCCTCAGTACCTGTGTAATTAATATGTGTTCAGTTTTAAAGGGATGAGGTGGCAACCCTAGTGTTTATCAGGTTTCCACAGACCTTTATGCTGGTCATACAGATATAGATTTCTTTTTTCAGCTTGCAGGGTGTTTTCTCCATCC